AAAACTGGAAACAATCCAAATGCCCAGTACAAGGACTGTGGGTTAATTATTTATATTCATAATGGAAGAGGATTACCAGGGTTAGCAAAGCCTTCTGTGTTGCTAAATCCAGGAGACGTTTGTTGGCCTTTGTCTTACGTGACCTCTCTCCACTTCTTCCTTCCCACGTTTTTGATTCTCTTGGCTTCTCTGGCAGTCTCCTCGTTTTCCTCCTACCTCTCTGTCTGATCCTTGTCCTTCTGTCTTATCACCTCTTCTTCCTCTTCTCACTGCTAAATGTTCAGAGTCTCCGGGACCGAGTTCTGGGCCTTTTCTCGCACTACACACTCTTCATGGATGATATCATAATCTTCCATGGCTTTAACACCATCTGTAGGCAGACAAGTCCTAAATTTATATTCTTAGCTCAGATCTCTCTTCTGAGCTCTAGACACATGTATCTAATCACTGCCACCGCCGAATGGATATTTTAGTTAACATGGCTCACTGAACTCTTGATCTTCCCCATCCCAGTAAACAGTACTTCCATCGACTCAGCTGCTAGAAACCTGGGAATCATTCTTGACTTCTTCTTCTCCCTCCCTTGTTACCAATCCTGTTGATTCTACCTCTGAAATAGATCTCAAATCTATTCGCTTTTCTTTATCTCCAATGCCACCACCCTGGACCAAGCCAGCATCATCGCTGACTGATGCCACCTCCATTCTCAGCCCCCTCTAGTCCATTGTCCACAGTATCCAGAGCACTCCTTTAAAAACACAAATTATATCAATGACCATTCATTGTACCTACGATTAAATTCAAAATGCTTAGCGTGGCCTACAAAGCCCCTGCCTCCCAGCATCATCTCCTGCCCTCTCCCTTTCCTGGTGTGCTTCAGCAACACTGGAGTTCTTTGTGTGCCTTATACACATGAGGTGCTTTCTTGCCTTGGGGCCTTTCTGTGTGCCTTTTTTCTGTGCCTGGAATGCTTTTCTCACCTCGTTTTGCCTGGCTGACTCCTTCTGGTTAAACTTCAAATCTCAGCCTAAAGGTCATTTCCTCAGCAAGGCTTTTGTTGACACACACACACCACCCCCACCTGCCTTCTCAATTTGGTTTCTTTGTTAGGTTATTTAATAATACTCTGTTCTTTTTCTTTGAAGGATTTATCACCATATGTGTGTGTATATGTATGTGTGTGTATATATATATGTTTGTATATGTGTGTATGTGTATATATATAGTTACGCGTCACTTAACAGGAATACGTTCTGAGAAATGTGTCGTTAGGTGATTTTGTCATTGTGCAAACATCGTAGTGTGTACTTACACAAACCTAGATGGTATAGCCTGCTACACACCTAGGCTATATGTTATTAATCTTATGGGACCACTGTCTTATATGCGGTTCAGCATTGAATGAAACATCATTATGCGGCACATGACTGGATATATTTGTGAGCTTGTGTGTTTAATGTCTAAACTGTAAGCTGTCGGAGAGCAGGAACTATGTCTCTATTGATTATTTCTTTCACTACTCTTTCTCTAGTGCTTAGAACATATTTCTTGAATGAAAACTTTGCTGTTCTAAAATGGTGAAAAGGAGATGGAGAATAGTATGTACAATATTATCCTATATTTGTTATTTTTTAAAAAATTGTATATTTTTGATGTTAATCCCTTATCAGATATATGATTTGCAAATATTTTCTTCCATTCTATGGGTTGCCTTTTAAACACTCTTTTGATAGTGTTCTTTGATGCACAGGTTTTGTTGAAGTCCAATTTATTTTTTCTTTTCTTGCTTGTGCTTTTGGTGTCATTCCGAGAAATCATTGCCAAATTCAATGTCATAAAGCTTTGCCTGTTTTTTCTGAGTTTTATAGTTTTAGTTTGTATATTTAAGTCTTTAATCCATTTTGACTTAATTTTTGTATATGGTAAAAAGGCAAGGGTCCAACTAATTTTTTTTGCATGTGGATATCCAGTTTTCCCAGCATCATTTATTGAAAAGACTGTCTTTTCCACATTAGATGGTCTTGGCACCCATGTCAAAAATCCTTTGACCATGTACGTGAGGGTTTATTTCCAGGCTCTCTATTCTATTCCACTGATTTATTTGTTCTGTCTGTCTTTATGCCAAGACCATACTATTTTGGTTTTTTTTTTTAATTGTGGTAAAATATACATAACATATAATTTACCATTTTAACCATTTTTAAGTATATAGTTCAGTGGCATTAAGTACATTCACATTGTTGAGCAACCGTCACCACCATCCCTTTGTTCTTTTTATAGCTGCATAGTATTCCATTGCATGAATACATTCGAATTTATTTACCAGTTCTCTGCTAATGCACACTCAGGTTGTTTTCAGTCTTTTGCTATTACAATTAATGCTATGACAAATAGTCTAATATAAAAGTCATTTGTGCTTGTGTGAGTATATCAGTAGGATAAATTCTGGAAACAGAGTTGGTAAATCATAACAGTTGTGCTTTTGTAATTTTTATAAAATGGGCAAAATGCCTTCCATAGAGCTTTTATTAATTTACCCTCAGTATATTAACTTTTTAAAAAAATTTTTTTCCTACCTGATAGGTAAAAAATGTTCTTAGTGTTGTTTGAATTTTCTTTTTTTTTTTTTTTTGGTGAGGAAGACTAGCCCTGAGCTAACATCCGTTGCCAATCCTCCTCTTTTTGCTGAGGAAGATTGGCCCTGGGCTAACATCAGTGCCCATATTCCTCTACTTTATATGTGGGATGCCTGCCACAGCATGGCTTGCTAAATGGTGTGTATGTCCGTGCCCGGGATCCGAACATGCAAACCCTGGGCCGCAGAAGTGGAGTGTGTGAACTTAACCACTATGCCACTGGGTTGGCCCCTTGAATTTCCATTTTGACATTGCATATCCTTTTTGCTTGTTTAAGAGCCATTTGATATTCTTTTCTATGAACTGTATGTTTATATGTGTGCCCATTTTTCTATTAACTTGTTTGTCATTTTCTTACTGATTTGTAAGAGTTCTTTGTATTTTAGGGAAATTAGCCTATTGTCTGTAATATAAGTTGCAAATGTCTTTCCAGCTTATCATTTCACTTATAGCAGTTCTAATCTCGTTTTCTCTCATAACCTATTTATCGTCAATGAAATCCCAGAAATTTTTGGAAGTCCTTTCACCCTACCCTATTAGAAAGCTCTGCTCAGTTGCAGAGTAATACCCAGCCTGGTGAGTGAGATGCTTTCTAATATCTGGTTGTTAAAATTTAAACAGTGATGGGACTAGAAAAGACCTCGGAAATCCTCTCATATAGTCACTTAATTTTGTAGATGAGGCCCAAGTAAATGAAGTGATGTAACCTAGGTTACATAGCAGGTAAACAATGGTGCCAGAACCAGGACTTTTCTCTGGCTGCCATTTTGGATGAGATTATTCTGTGTAATACACACACTAAGAAAGTTCTGAGTTTATGAAGGTGTTTATGAATTGAAAGTTGGTTTTGGTAGAGAGAGGGCGCTTTCCCATTCTGCTCTTTTTCTTTTTCTCTCACCTCCTTTTCCTTCCCCAAGTGACTTGTGAATTCTGAAATTCTAGCTTAAGACAGAGAATAAGTGGCCCTTTGAACGTGCCCTTTTCTAGGATTGGTTTGGTGCTGAGTTCTAGGCGTGCAGGCCCGAGGAGAGGTACGTGGTGGGGATTCTCCAAGTGATGGTGCTGCCCTCAATGCATGACTCAGAGGCTCTGAGGAAGCCAGGTTAAGGTTGTGCTGGGTGTTCTGGAGATTTGCCGCAGCTTGGACCTCCCAGGCCTCCTCCATCACCAAATGGAGAAAACCTGATCCCCCTGAAAAGCCTTGGGACTTCAGTTGTTTCTCAGGGATCTTCTGACCCAAGTAATAAAAATGATAAAAATAATAATAAAATAATAAAATTATTTATGCTTGTTTATCTAATCTAAGATGCCACTGACTATCGGCTGTGCCACTATTTTGTGCATCACTAAGAAAAAATACTGCGAATTAAAAGGACTGGTGCTTGCTTAGCACATAGACTTTTCTCACATATCACTCTTATACATAAAAAAGTAAAATAATTTTTCTTTAAATGCCATATCATAGTGCAGTCTCTTCAAAGATATTTTAAGTGGCATTTAAAACATGGGTAGTACCATCAAATACATTTAATTGAGCTAAAATGACAATACCAACAACTTAGACTAAATTCACACATGTACAGGCAGTGTGACTACTTCTCCATCATTTGGCTGATGAGCATTATAAGATTTCAGAGTCAATAGTGTAGGGGAGGAGGCCAGCCCGGTGGCTCAAGCAGTTAGGTGCGTGCTCTGCTGCGGTGGCCCGGGGTTCGCCGGTTCAGATCCCGGGCGTGCACTGATGCACCGCTTGTCAGGCCATGCTGTGGCGGGGTCCCATATAAAGTGGAGGAAGATGGGCACGGATGTTAGCCCAGGGCCAGTCTTCCTCAGCAAAAAGAGGAGGATTGGCAGATGTTAGCTCAGGGCTGATCTTCCTCACAGAAAAAAATAAATAAATAAAAATAATGTGGGGGAAATGTGTGTCCTAGGATTAATGCAATGCTGTATCTTTTGACTAATTCCAAAGCATTTTTACATACATGATCTCATTTAATCTTCCCAGCAACCCTGAAACTAGATACATAAAGCCACTTTCGAGATAAACAAACTGAGGCTTAGAGAGGTTAAGTGACTTGCCAGAGATCACAGTTAATAAGTGATGAAACTGGGACTGAAACCCTGGATTTTCTTCTCTATCCAGTTATTTCCCTGCATTTGAGCCCATTGACTTAGATCTTTCTGTTATATCAGAGCAGATGATGAGAACAGCACAGGAAATGAGGGCTGCCGTGATTCTTTCTCTGATAGAGTTGATTAAAGACAATTACTGGCAGAAATAGGTATGCATAAGTGGTTTTCTTTGAAAGAGTAAAAATATAAGTTTAACTTGAAGACATTCTCTTCCCCCCCCCTTCTCCGAAGGTACCAGAAAGCAGCTGAGGAAGCAAACATGGAAAAGAGGAGAAATGTAAGTATTCAGAAGCCCTAGGGCCTGTGGGACTTCATGAGCAGAGCCTGTGTGGCCCAGCCACCTGCAGCTTCTGTGGGGCTTGGGTTCCACGTCAGCTCAGCCAGGCATTTATGCCAGCTGGTCTGATCTGTGAGCCGTTTGCTCTGGAGAACTTGGCTCAGGTGCAGGGAATCTTATTTTTGCACTGAGATTCTCCTTTTGAACCTATTTTTTTTCCCTGAGTTGAGTGAAGGAAAGAAAGCCAAGTGCTTTGCTTGAGGTTGGTAAAATGGCTTACTACTTCTGCTCAAGTGGGGACGCTGGCTTCCTGGGCTGTCATCCTTTTTTCCAAATCAAACAACCGGAATTTCTATAGCTCTGCTCATTTTAATGGTAGCAGCTGTGCAATTGTCATCCTCTGGGTTCTTTGTTTAAAGCAAACTTCTTGACCCAGTCTAGTTAGCAAGTTTCTTAGCCGCAGGATCCATCAAAGGCTAAAACCTCAGAACAAGCTCCCTGCTTGTACCCATTCTCTACTCTTCCCGCTGGCTAACTTCCAGCTGGGCTGATAGTGTATTTCTTTTGAAATCTTACCTGATTTAATCTTAGGAAGAAAAAGCCTCATGTATTTGGGCAAGAATTCTATAATTTGGCCAGCATTACAAAAACATCCCCCTGGCAGTTTTCAGGACCTAACCTATTTAAATTAGTCCATAACATGCCCCTGTCAATTTGTTCTCTCTAAGGGGATGATGCTGACCAGGTCTTGGGCTTAATTTTCCTGTAATTTGAAAATGGATCCTCTCTGGTGCACTGTAAGAAAAAGCTACCATCATTTCACTCAACTGCTGGTTTCTTTTCTTTCCTCCTTCTCTCTCTTCTGCCTGTTATTTTTCCCCTTGTTCCTTTCCTCCTTCCACCCATTCATTTAGCAAGGATTCACGGGCACCTACTATGTGCCAAGCACCGTTTTAGGCACTAATACAGACTACATTTCTGCCACCATGGAGTCTGCGTTCTGGTGGGGGAGACAGACAATATAGAAATTGTGTCAGGTGGTGATTAGAGTTATGAAGCAATATGAAGCAGGTAAGAGGGATAGAGTGGTCAGGGAAAGCCTCTGCTAAGGAAACATTTGAGCAGAGATCTGAGGACATGAACCAGGGAGAAGAATGATTCAGGCAGAAGACAAGCACATGCAAATGCCCTGGGGCAGGAACGTTCTTAGTGTGTTTGAGAAATAGGAAGAGCAGGGTCATAGAGGGCCATTGTGAGGACCTGGACTTTAACTCTGATTGAATGAGGGCCTTTGAAGGGTTTATGTGCAAAGGAGTGAAGTGATCTGACTTAAATTTTGAAAAGAGGAGGCAGAGACTAGAAGAACAATAGCAGAAGCCTGGAGACCAATTATGAGACAATTGCAATGATTTAGGCAAGAGATGATAATGGATTGGACTGGAGTAGTAGCTATATAGGTGATGAGAAGTGGTCAGGGTTTATACGGACGGTAGAGAGAAAGAGAGGAATCAAGAATGGCAGCAATGTTTTTGGCTCAAACCTGGAAAAATGCCATTAACTGAGATAGGGAAGATGGCAGTAAAAGCAGGTTTAGAGAAGGGGAAATATTAGAAGCTCAGTTTTGGACATGTTGAATGTAAAATTCTTTGTTAAGACATCCAGGGGGAGATGTCAAATAGGAACTTTGATGTAGAAATCTGGAATTGGAAGAGATCTGGGCTGGAGGTGAGATGTGTGTGTATCAGAGTATTAGTGGTGTTTAAAGACATGAGATGCATGAGATCACCCCTGGAGTGAGTGTAGCTAGAGAAGAGGTCTGAGGACTGAGCTCAGGGGCACCTTGGTGTTTAAAGTTTGGAGAGATAAGAAGGGACCAGCAAAGGAGACTGAGAGGGAGCAACTGGTGAAATAGCAATAGAAACAAGAAAATGGAGTGCCAGAAGTCAAGTGAAGAAAGTATTTCTAAAAGGAGAGTTATCAACAGAGTCACACACACAGATGGCCTGAGAATTAACCATCACATTTGGCAACATGAAGGTCGTTGGTCACCTTGTACTGTTTCTAAGTGATGGGATAAAGGCCTGATTGGACTAGGTTCAAGACAGTGGGATGTCAGAATTTGACACCACGGGTATAGACAAATGTTTAGGGAGCATCTTTTATGTGCCAGGTGCCAGAGACACAAAGAGGAATAAGATGTGGTCCCTGCCTTCAAGGGACTGTTTAGAGTTTAGGAAATAGAATTTATAATCCCAGTGTGATAAGTACCATATTAAAGAAATACTCAAGGTGCTGGAGGAGCATTTAGGAGGGACTCATAACCTGGACCATGCTACATCAAGGAAGGCTTCCTAGAAGAAGTGGTGCCTGATGGAGCCCAAAAGACAAATAGGAATTAGCTAAGCCAAGGGGGCAAAGGAGTGGCAGAGGAAGCAGAATTATACACAGCATGGAGACGTGAGAACAGGCATATTTGACAGTTGAAAAGATAATTATTGCATTCACCAAGATGGAGAATTCAGGAGAAGAAACAGATTAAAGGGTGAGGAATGAAGGGAGGAGAGGGGAGATTCAGCCTTAGATAAGGATGGGTTTAAGATGCCGATAGGATTTCCAGGTAGAGTTGATAGGTAAGGAGAGAAATCTGGCTAGAGTTATGGTTATAAGTCATCAACAGACAGCTGGTAGGTGAAACCACAAGGTGGATGACATCGTCTACAGAGACTATATAAAGTGAGTGAAGAAGAGGACCTAAGACAGAATCTTGAGGGAACCCACCATATTAGGGAGGTACAGAGGAGGAGAAACCTGTAAAGAAAACTGAGGAGCAGCCAGCGAAATGGGAAGAAATCTAAGAACAAAGGGGTGTCACAAAAACCATGGAAGGAATTTTTAAAAGGGGGGAGTGGTCAGTAGGGTCCAATGCTATAGAGAGATCAAATAAAATAAAGCACAAGTGTCCATTGCATTTAGCAAATGAGGTAAAAGGATGTGAACAGGTAATTAAAGAAGAAACAATAAACATAGGAAAAAATGCTTAGCCTCGCTAATAATCAAAGAAATGTAAATTAACGTACCATGAGATTTAAATTGTAATCTAAACAGTTGGCATTTTTTTTTTCAATAGATAATATTCAGTATGTGAGGAAATATGAACTCTCATACACTCTTAGTGAGAAGTCAATTAGGAAATACCTATTAAAATATTAAATATATTTCATACCATTGATCCAGCAATTCTACTTCCAGGAATTATCATTGAGGAAAAACTCACAAGTGAAATAAACGTAAAAGGATATTTATTGCAGGATTCTTTGTATTACTGAAAATTTTGAAAAAATGCAGATACTCATCAGTGGGGGAATGGTAAATTATGGTACATACATTCAATATAGTAATATATATAGTATTATATGGTTAAGATTTTATGTGTTGACATGGAAAGATATCAAAAGCACGTTAAACGATTAAAGCAAGGTGCAGAACAGTAAGTATAGTATGATTTTCTAGAAAAAATGTATATAGTGTATAAAAAGAGGGGAAAAATTGAGAGTGTGTGCACCAAACTGTTGGCAGTGGATATCTTGGTTGGGAGGGATGGAGAAGTCAAATAAAGAGAATTATAGCATATATTCGGGTCATGTATACATTCCTATATTGATCGTGACTTTTCCCCCAAAAGTTTTTAAATTACTTTTGTAATTGAGAAAAATAGTAAGTTAAAAATGAGATAATGAAATGAAAATTTTAAAGCGGTAATTGGTGATCTTGTTTGGAGCTACCTAAGAAATCGTTGGTAGTAGAATTAGAGTGAATGGAAAGTAATCAAGTGGAAATGTGCTTTCAAGACCGTTAACTGTGAAGTGTAAGAGACAGCAATAGTTAGAGGAAGACATCAAGTTGAGGCAGGGTTACTTTTTTTTAACAAACTTTTTATTTTGAAATAATTTTGGATTTACAGTGGAGTTATTAAGATAGTATGGAGTGTTCCCATATATGTCCCCTTAGCTTCCCCTAATGTTAACATCTTATATAACTATGGTACATTTATCAAAACTAAGAAATTAACATTGGTGCAAACTATTAATTAAACTACAGACTTTATTCAAATCTCACCAGTTTTTCTACTAATGACAGAGGGTTGCTTTTAAGATCCACTAGACTTGTAAGAAGTCCAAATTGTCTCCTGAAGAAGAGGGAGAAATGTCCATATAAACTTACAGAAGTGACTGACCAAGTGAGAGTACTTACATTCTATGGTAGAATGCAAGTTAGAGAAATATTCAGGAGCAGGTGGGTAATGTATTCCTTCAAGAAATAGTGGGATTGGGTTACCTGATAGCCTGGATTCCCAGAAATTTACTCCTCTTTTTCTCTTCCTCTTCCACTTACACCTAGGACACAGAAACAGACCATTAATACCATTATCAGTTATATTTTCAGGTTCCTTTCAAGCATGGAATATGCCACTTCTTGAAATCTGTGCTGTTTGGGCACTCATCTCCATAATGACTGGCTTCCACTTTTCTGAGAATTTCTCCCCTTTCTTGGAGGCTGTACATCCAGGTAGTCCATGTTTCCGAGCCCACTGCTGTATCCTCCTACTTTTAAGATGAAGATTCCTCTGCCAAGATTTCAATGTTAGAGCTCATTTGACCCAGCCTCTTCATTTTACAGGTGGAATAACTGAGACCCAAAGAGAGGAAGGGACTTATCCAAGGTCATACATCTCAGAGTGACAGATCTGGGATTTATCCCAATTCCAAGTCAAATGCTCCTGCAGAAAGGACGTTGTGTTCCATCTCCTGGGTGTGCCTGATCTGGATTCAGGCAGCCAGTTATGGCTCTGATTCTCAGTCTTCCTGGGTAGAATGAACAGCATGCTGGATGTCACTTGAGAAAGGAGGCTGTGGTAGTGTAGCAACCAAAGGGGCCCTTGAAAATTTGCAGCCTCCTTGACTTCCCACTGCCTTATTCTAGGAAATACTTGGGAAAAAGTTAAAACCTTGATACAAAAGACTGACTAGAATTTCACCTTATTTTGTGCCCCCCACCCCGACTTGGGAACAGTAGAGACTATAGGAAGAGTAGAAAGAACTGTAAGAGACTAACCCAAGTTCAGGATTTGGGAGATGACGAGGTACTGCAGTTGATCACCATTGTGAGGTGTGGCTGGAGGAGTAGGGAGGGCCACCCATTTAATAATAATTGTCACCACTTATCAGGTGCCTATTTATGTCAAATACTACACTACATGTTTTAATATAGTCTCATTTATTCTCCAAGATTGCCCTGTATGGTAGTTTCCAGAAATTAAGAAACTTGCCTAAGGTCCCTTGGCTGGGTAGAGCTGGATTTTACAAGTAACACATGTTCATTGTAGAAAGTACAGATAAAGAGAAGAAAATATAAGTGGCCCATAATCCATTATCCAATGATAACCCAGGCTGTCTCAACCAATACTCTCTTTACTGTGCTGCCCAAACTGCTTTTAGCGATCGCTTTTGTTCTGTGCCTTCCTGCTTCTCTTTCTTCCCCAGAAAGACTGGGGCCACTGCTTCTTCCCCATCTGTGCTTGCCTTGGGTCCTAAAGACCTGGACAATTGGCATGGACTGGGTAGGGCCGCCCACAGTGATTTAAGGGTGTGAGGCCTTTAATGCTGTCAGATCACACAGCCCTGCCTTCCCCTTCTTGTCCTCACCCCAGCACTTTTGAGCTTGTATCTTTAAAAGCTCCTTTAATAAAAGAGCACATTTACTCCTGCTGAAAGACCCCTAAGGGAGGACCTCTGCCCAGGCCCTCGTGTGGGACGCTGCTGATACTCCATCACACAAAGCCCTCTCTTCCTCGTCATCACAGGTAAAGTAGAAATGACCATTTTCAAGCTGCTTACAGTAAGACCAAAATTATTTAATGTTCTGTAGAAGCTTTTTTTGTCATATGAAGATGATGTATAATGTTATTTTTTTTTGTGAGGAAGATTAGCCCTGACCTAACATTTGTTGCCAATCCTCCTCTTTTTGCTGAGGAGGATCGGCCCTGGGTAATATCAGTGCCCATCTTCCTCTACTTTGTATGTGGGACGCCTGCCACAGCATGGCTTCATAAGCGGTGCATAGGTCCACGTCCGGATCCAAACCTGTGAACCCCAGGCTGCTGAAGCAGAGCACGCCAACTTAACCACTGTGCTACCTAGCCAGCCCCTGTAATTTTATTTTCGTATTCACTTTTATTACACAACAAATACACATTTATCGTAAAAAAAAGAAAATACAAATGCCCATGATCCAAAGATAACCCATTAACATCCTAATGTCTTTTCTTCCAGGCTACTTTTTTGTGTGTGTGTGTGAGGATGATCAGCCCTGAGCTAACATCCAATGCAGATCCTCCTCTTTTTGCCCAGGAAGGTTGGCCCTGGGCTAACATCCATGCCCATCTTCCTCTACTTTATATGGGACACCACCACAGCATGGCTTGACAGGCGGTGCATCGGTGGGTGCCCGGGATCCAAATCTGCAAACCCCGGGCCGCTGAAGTGGAACGTGTGCACTTAACCGATGCACCACCGGGATGCATCTGGAAGAGGGCTTCCAGATTACTTTTCTATGCTTATATTTAGAAATATATATGTGTGTTATAAAATGAGGTCATGCTGTCTAATAATTTGCTTTTTTCACTCAGAAGTATCTTATAAGCATCTTTCCATGTCAATAAATAAATATACTTTGATCACATGATTTGTCTCTGAGAAAAGTAGTGTCCAGTTACCAAGGTAAAAATGGCACTTTGATTCTCAGGACTCCTGTTGGGGCAGGGCAGGGGCAAGGCAGGTGAAGTCGGGGACCCATATGACTCATCCCATTGTGTGGCAGGACGTAGCACAGAGCCAAGGGTGCTGCTGGCAGTTAAGGTAGCACCAGCTTCCAGAGCTGTTTTTTCATTCTCTCTTTTTCAACAAGAAAACTTTTCATGCTTCCTCTGTCTCTGATCTATACATGCTTCCCCCAACAAATCATCTTGTCAGTAAAGATTTAAACACTAAAATCAAGCAGTTATTCTGTAACTTTTTTTATGCCTTGGTGCTACTTGATGAAGTGGCTCTCAGAGTGTATTCAGAAGAGTAACAGGGTGAGAGACTTAATTCCCAATATAGCTGCTAATCCTGTTTAATTCCCTGAAGTCTTTCAGTCCCAGGTGTTTTGTCCTTTCTTTCCTAGTTGAGAGACCGGTGAGTCACAGACTACAGGAATGGAAGGCAAGAAGGTATTGGAGCGCGTGGTTTGTTGCGAAGGTGCTGCTGTTCAATTTATTAAGGAGCACTTTCAAAGTGCGGGACATTGAATTTAACTTCATCAAGCATGTTTTCTCTATTATTGTGGAACAACAGTGACTGTTGCCAGGTTGTTTTTAATCTGTCTTATATGTATAAATTAATTCCATTTTGACCCAGGTGGAAGTGAACTCTCTTAGATGTGTAAATATGTGTCCTTCAATCAAGAGAAAGGGTGGTGGTATTTCATATGCAGCCTGGATATTTTTCAACCAAAGGATCTGTAAAATAGTGAATTTTCTGATAACTGAGAATTTACACGTGGACAAATGTGTAGAGAAGGGCAGGAAAAAGAGAGGGTTAGGTTCTTATGTAAAAATAAAATTTGATTGTTCATATGCATGTAAATTATATCAGATACAATGAAATATCATTTATGCAAATACATGTAAAAGTCTGGTGACTTATTTAAATTTCTACAAATAGTTTCAATCCTTGATGTTACTATCCCTAATTATTGGTATTGTGTAGTTTCAACTATACTGCATCTTTTTCTTATTTAAAAGAAAAAAACCCAGCAGGATTCACCATGTATTTTTGTGGCATGTAATGATGAACTTTTATTAATACATATTTACGGTGTTTATAGTACCTAGTATTTTGCTTTTTCTTTCTTGTTTTCCCCATTAAATTTTGCATAAAAATCCCTTGTCTTCAATGTAGCTATCATTAGATCTGGGCTCTCCTTTCTTCTCATTTTGTCCTTATAAGGCTATCCTGTTTTATCACTTCCTGCTTCAGCTCCTGACTTTTTCTCTCTTCCCCTCTCCCAGGGTGGGTGCTTTCTCCATGTGGCAGGGCTGTAACTGTTCACAGCTGTCTGCAACGCCAGTGGACCAGGAGCTGCCTGGAGTTTTAACTTTCATTTTGCAAAGAACAACATGTTTGAATGTTTCAGCAGGCAAGTTATAACTGGCATTTACTTCTTGTTCTTCTAGAACACTGAAAATTTCCCCCAGCACTTGAGAAGGGGAAACCTGACTGTGTTAAAGAAGAAGTGGGAGAACCCAGTGCTGGGAGCAGAGTCTCCCACAGAGTCCCTGCGAAACAGCAGCGTTGAGGTCAGGCACGGAGGCATCCGTCCTCCTGCTGAAGTGGCAAGCAACTCTGCCTCTGGGGCCGAAGCTGACCGAGAGGAGCGAGCCCGCCCCAGACCTAGACTCGGATCACCTCCTGAAGCCGCTGTTCAGTATCCGTATCCCTGCATCGAGGACAGTGAGCATCTTGAAGACCACTCAACAGAAAGTAAAAAAATGGAAAATTGTCTAGGAGAATCCAGGCATGAAGTAGGAAAACCTGAAATCAATGAAAACACAGAAGCTGCATACAAAATTGAGAAATATAATGTTCCGCTGAACAGGCTTAAGATGATGTTTGAGAAAGGTGAATCAGCTCAAAAATCAGCCCAGGTAAGGACTGGGCGGGTTTAAACTCGAGAAAGCCAAATCAAGTAACTAAACAGCTGTTTTTCTAATCTGGACAGTTTGAGTAGTAGTGAATATGTGGTCAGTATGTCTTTTGATTCAAGTTAAGTTAATTAAAAGTGTCAAATTGTTTACCTAGATGCTAAGATTTTTGCATCTCTGACCCAATTTCATGTGAAATCAAGCGTACACTGGGATTCAGGTTGATATCTAGAAGTGAAGAGAGTTTGATGCCGATTGGATTGTGTGTTTTTGTATGCTTGCCCTTTTAATTTGTCTTCCTGTGCCTTTTGTCATTTGTAGCTTTGGGGGGTGGAATTACTGCTGAATCTCTCTCTGCTTGGACACAGCTGCAGGCTGAGTGTTAAGGCCAGAGTTTAACATTAAGACTGAGGCTTAGTTGTCTCTTTGCTAGCTGAATCCCTTCTCTTCTTCTCAACTTCCTCATCTGTGCCTTCCAACAAATGTTTTCTATCAGCTAAAATCCTCTCCCAGGAAAAATCAATGAAGATAGCCAGACTAGCTGTAGCCTTCAGGAGTTTTGACTTGCAAATGCACAGGGTTGCATTTTCCTACAACTGCTAATGAAATTTGATCCTTCGTGTGGATTGCAGACCAGGTCCCCAGAGGGAATTACTTAACTAGAAAATGAGTTACATATGCTGGTGACTTATAAAACAATCCAAGGGCTGCAGAACTGGTAAATTTTTCCAATTTTCTCATACTTTCCTGCATATCTGCCTTTGTAGATGGGGATGGTTTGTTACAATAGTCGTTATAATGAAATAAACAGATCTGCTGGGAAGCAAAGCCATCATTTACTCTAGATTCCATCTAGATAGGAAAGCAGAATTTTTAAAGCTAGATATATGGCCCAAATCCCTACATTTGTGAAGTAATGATGTGAAGCGTTCTTTCTGAGATGAAAATTAGGTAACTCATCCTATAATCCTCAGTTACGTTTGGTGTGACTTAATCTCTTCTCCTTAACATGCAGCTTTCCTGCCTAGAAAAGTTCTTGAGTGTTTAGGGATCATCTATTTGAGGATGTAGAAAGAATTTTTAAAGGGGTGCAAACCTAGAACCCTTTTCTGTGCATGAGTTTTAGCTCTAACACTGAAACCAGTTGGCAAGAGATGTAACCACAAAGCAGTTTTATGACTTTTCTCAAACTCGCATCCCTCTGAATTTTCAGTCCTCTTAGGCCTGCCAACTCCCTCTTTCTCCTTTATGGTCTTAATAAAAAAGAATTTTTTTTTTTTTTAATGTGAAGAAGAATTTTAAATGGAAGGAAAAAATGTCAGAAATCCTAAATAGAGAGGAAGGGGCTTTGTTGTGACTCAAAGCACCATTGTAAGGCTCCTTCTCACAGACCCTGTTAGGGGCAGGACAGCTGATGTCACGCCAGCATGCACAATGTAGAGTCAGTGCAAAAGGCTGGCGCATGTCAAAACTGGCCTAAGGTAGGAAATGACTGGGACTGCAGCAAACAAAAATGCTGATTATGTGTAAGGATCTGGTGAGAGACTTTTTTCTCATAAATGTCTGGTGGAGATGGGTCAGAACAAGCCTATCTCTTTGTGGCTGGTCAGAATGAAGAAAAACCCCTCATACAAAGAAAGATCCTGCTAGATCTCTGATGGCACTGGGCAGCCTGATTGCTAACAGTATAGGAAGATGAGGGAGGTTCTAAGATTGACCTGGGCTTTTTTAGGTGCCTTTTTAAACTTCCTGATTAAATAGTCATTTGTCACTTAATGGACTGCCTAGGAAGTGTAAAACACAGCTGCCCTTGGTTTTATAGCTGTTTCTAAACATCATTATTCATGTTGGAAACAGTCTAGAGTACTTTAAAAAGTTTTGTCTAATATTTCAATAAAACCATTAAAATACGTTTTGTCTACTTTAGGTTAAGGAATAACTAATCAGTTTGAAACTAGGTTATGGTTATTGTTAACATAATTTCAGCTTTAACATGGATAAGGCTTTAATAATCAGGATGTTGCATGATTGGATCTTTGGAAGGAAGCTCTGAGAAATATGGTAGGGACACTAGAAATCCTTTTAGGAGCAAGAGTATACAAGTAAGAATGTATACTTCAGAGCTAACAAATTCAGTAAGACAAATGACTAAATTAGGTACAAATTGTGTGAATCTTGAGTTCCATAATTGCATTTTAGAGAACTGGACAGAATCTCAACTAATTAGCTGAGCAGGGTCAGGGACCACATAGATAACGGAAATACATGGTCTAATGTCACATCCTCAGAAATCTTTTTTTTTTTTTTGCTGAGAAAGATTGGCCCTGAGTTAACATCTGTTGCCAATCTTCCTCTTTTTGCTTGAGGAAGATTGTCCATGAGCTAACATCTGTGCAAATCGTCCTCCATTTTGTGTGTGGGACACCGCCACAGCATGGCTTGAACCCGTGAAACCCAGGCCTCCAGAGTGGAGTGCACGAACTTAACCACTACACCACCAGGCTGGCCCCACATCCTCAGAAATCTTTTTATCAGGGTTATTTACAGGAGACAAAGTTAAGTGGTTTGAGTTCCCCTTTTCTTAGTTTCTCTTGCTCCCTTTTGTCTGAGATGGTTTCTGTTCTTGTCTCCTTATCTTCCTGATCTCCGCTCTCACGTTTTTTTCTCTCTCCCTGTGTAATCTCATCTCTTTCCATGACTCCAGGAAATGAATTCCCAAACTAGATTCTAGTCCTGAACTCTTAACCCAAACTTAAGCCCCATCTTTTTGGTTGCCTGCCAGGTCAGACATCTCTCTGTGAATATCCCTTAGGCTAATTCAGGAAGGCTGAAAACGAATCTATTCTCTTTCTAACCAAAACCTGCCTTACTCCTGGTGTCCCTTAATGCATCAGCATTCACCAAATCTCCTAGTCTGTAAGCTTGGGATCAGTTCTTCCTTGTGCCTTCCTCTTCTTCCCAGTCAGTCACTTACTAGGCTATCCAAATAAGTCTACCCTCTACACATCTCTCAAGTATGGGCCATTCTGTCCTGTCCCGTAGTATTGCTACAACCTCCCCATTGGCCTCTCATTTCTTTCTTCCCATCCATCCTCCACACTGTTGCTGTTTATTTTTCTAAATATAGTTGTAAATTATGTTACTTTCTTGATCAGAAACTTCTGATGCCTTAAAATTAATCCATATTTAATATTTGGGTCTTCCACAGTCTGAGCTCAACCTACCTTTCCAGTCTCATAGGCAATCTTATGCTCAAACTCTGGGTTACTCCTCATTCTCTAAATTATTTGTGCCTATACCCCAACTGCTACCTTTTGAAATCTTACTCCTTAAGGTCTATTAAGACTATGAGGCCTTACCTCATTTTCTCCCGAATGAATTAACGCTCCTCATTCTCCTATAGAATTTTCTTTTCACTTTTCTTTGAATACTTATATCATGTTTCCTTTAATAGTCGTGTATAAATTTGTACACTCCAGTCTATAATTTCTTTCAAAGTAATGATATTTTCTCCCCCAGTGGTCAGCACAATGACTTGACTCTTAGTGTTTATTTAATAAAAGGAAGAAAAGAAGCTTAGAACTCAAATAACTTATAAATAATGAGAATCGATAAAAGCTGTTCTTCACTTATTCTCTACTTTTGGTGAATAGATAGTTTATTCAGGTTAGATGGTTTATTTAACGTGATGCTTCTAATTCCTGTGAGTGAATGAGCGGTGAATGGATTAATGTAACACATCATCATTACTAAGAAAGAGAACCTCCCCAGTGACATATACTGAATGTGGTTTAGCATCCCTAATTTCCTGTATATGTTGATCTGGGTTTTACGTAGCTGAGGTAACTATTCTGGGCATCCTTTTATGATAGTTGATCAACTAGTTATAACCAATGTTCATTTATCATCATGTTGACATTGGAATCCGCAATCTTTAGAAGCCAGGATGTGGTTATTCAAAAATCAAGTACCTCTTTCATGCCCAAGAATGACCAAGCAATGTAGGGAGCATGTGACAGGCTCCTTAAGTTTCAGTTCTTTCTGTTTGGTTCCTAACATATTTGGTTCATACAGATTCTTGGACAGGAGAATAAAGACCAAATATTTGGATGGTATATTTCTACCTTCATAACTTATTTAAATTATTGTCTTTTGCTTGGGTCAAGATTGAACCGATTAGGTGTAATGCAAGAAAATAGGACTGGAATATGGATATCCCTTGATTCTTTTTTTTTTTTGCTGAGGAAGATTCACCCTGGGCTAACATCTGTGCCAATCTTCCTTTATTTTGTATGTGGGTTGCTGCCACAGCATGGCTGCCAACAAGTGGTATATGTCCGTGCCTGGGAACCGAATCCAGGCCCCCGAAGCAGAGCGTGCCGAACTTAACCCCCCTTGATTCTTTTTTTTTTTTTGTGAGGAAGATCAGCCCTGAGCTAACATCCATGCTAATCCTCCTCTTTTTGCTGAGGAAGACTGGCTCTGAGCTAACATCTATTGCCAATCCTCCTCCTTTTCCCCAAAGCCCCAGTAGATAGTTGTATGTCATAGTTGCACATCCTTCTAGTTGCTGTATGTGGGACGCGGCCTCAGCATGGCTGGAGAAGCGGTGCATTGGTGCGCACCTGGGATCCAAACCTGGGCTGCCAGTAGCAGAGCACACGCACTTAACCGCTAAGCCATGGGGCCGGCCCCCCCTTGATTCTTTTACACAGGTGCTGACTACTGCTTCTTGCATGCAGTGTTTCCATCTTCTAGGAAAGGAGTTAGATAAAGAAAGGAGGAAAGAGAAGAGAGAATGCCTTCTCACCAAATATCCCTATTTCCTAAAGCGCATAAATAGACTCACTCACTCACTCTTTGGGGGCTAACCAAGGATAGGAGGTAGTAATGAGAAGGTAATGATAAGTTTGTCCATAGGTGAATAGAATTAAAACAATTTAGAAAAAAATTTTTTTCTTTCTCTTTTTTCCCCATCATTCAATTGTATATTTTAATGCTTC